ATTGCACTTCTGATAAGAGGGTATTTGAAGGAAAGTTGTCACAGGTCATGTTGTCTGTTGTCATGTTGATGTCTGCTGCTGTTAGAAACTTCATCCACTGTATAAGGACACTATACACCTCACCCAAAGCCACCGTCACCATAAATGGTATCACCTTAAGGTTTTCACATTTCGACTGGGCACCAGGCAAGGACTCCCACTCTCGCCTTCTTTATTTGGTCTCTTCATAGAACCACTTGCTGCAGCCATATGCCATGACAACCGCATGACAAGGTATCCACATGACAAACCTCCAAAATAAAATCAGCCTTTACACAGATGATGTTTTACTGTATTTAAAAGACCCTTTGCCCTCACTAAAATCAACCAAATCTCATTCACACCTTCTCTAAAATCTCTAATTATACAATTAGTTGGAACAAATCCATTATATTACCACTTCCCGAAGATGCCTGGGATTCTGCAGAACAGTATTTATCACTTCCACTTCGCACTGGCGATATTAGGTACCAGGGTATAGACATTTCCCCCAGGCTGTCAGAGTTGTTTCACCTTAACTACACTCCATTGTTAAAAACAGTTGAAGATGACTGAATCTACCTCTTATCCTCATAGGACGAATTGCAACTGTCAAAATGAAAATACTCTGAGACATTAATTATCTTTTCTCAATGCTACTCAACGCACCAACAGATGTGATCTCTGTGATCTGTCTTCTCCCATAATGACTCCCTTGAGGCTGGTCAATGTTGACGGACACAGATGTTTATTGACTCTGCATATTTCTCATTAGAGCGAAAGGGTCATCAACACAAGGAAGTGGCGTTCATGGCGTTCCACAATATATATCTTTCAAATAATAATAATAATTTATTATAGAAACTAAACTATAAATTCACATTGTGTTCTAGTGATTGTATAGTGGAATTTGGCCCCTGTAAATAAAATAAATAAAACAAAACAGAAGTCTCTCTCTCTTAAAACAATAAAGAAATTACTCTTTACCTATAAAAAGACCCAAAATACATTCTTTTACAGACCTCACATAACAACTATTACCTTCTTTTTTTGTTTCCTTTCAGTCATAACATTAAGCGACATAACAAAACACATTAACTAAACAGTAGAAAATATCTAAGCTGCATACTATCAAAACAGTTTGTAGCATGACATTTTATGAACATACCTGTATATTTCATATAAAACACAAGAGCAGAAAGTAATCAAAACAAGGTAGGTGCTCACTGTGAAGAATACATATATAATGATAGCTAGCTTACACAGGAGAGTCAATAAAACATATATAAGACAATCAGTAACTGTATAAAAAAACATGGCGAACTGTATTCAAGACATGTAAAATCACACTAAATAATTCCAGTTTAACTAATAGCTACATTTCATGTGGTTAACAATATATATGCTTATGGACTTCAACACACACACCCTAACTCATGGTGTTCCTTCCTCGAGGAATACACACAATCCCTTGCAGCTAGGGCTCACCGCTCCCTGCAGGTATTCATTCACAACACTAGGTGGAACTGCTATCCCATTAGCAGGATTTAATATGAACCCCATTTAACTACAGTATGTGGCACAACCCAGACTTTAAACTGTGCACCACTCCTATTTGCTATCACACACGGGCCCAAAAAGGCATTACATATCTCCACTTCTAGAACTCATTACCCACTTGAACCTCCAAAAATAATAAATGACAATTT